GTGGAAGGAGTCCGAGAATGTTCAGAATGACCTTCCGCACGGGAGGAGTCCACACTTCCTTAAAGTCGCCTATGCCTGGGAGTTCGTGAACGACCCCTGGTTTGTCGGCGGCCGTTCTGTTGGATGAAGTTCATCATCGCCTCTCGCATCTCATTTACTGCGCGCTCCAGATTGTCGACTCTATTCTCCATCTGCGACCTAGTAACGGGCATCCACAGTCCTGCGATCTTTAAGCTCTGATACCAATGATAGTAAATAGCGACAAAGACCACAAGATAGTATGTAATTTGGATCACTGAAAGTCTGAAATTACACACACAGTATATACGCACACCAATATCAAAAGAAACGTAAGATGAAAGTGCTGGTTGAGACCAATTCGAGAGGGTCTCTCTCTCCTACCAAGTTCTGTCCACGTCCAAAACTCCCACCCACTCCCTCTTCAGTTACGCTTTATGCACTGCGTTGATATTGCTTCCACGATCTGTTTCTGCTTCTCCACGATTTTCTGCTAGTAAATTCCCTCTTTTACCCTTGCGGATATAAACCTTTGAAAAATCCCTGTTGGGATTAATTTGGTACTTATCTGGGCTCGTATCAGAATGATTTAGAGCCACACAAACTTTACTAAATTTGCTACGGGACAAATTTAGTAGGATTACCCGAAAAGGTAAAATGGGATGATCTTAGCGGGATGGAGGGAGTATACAACTCCCATTTTATTTAGCCCCTCTTCCTGGTGGGCCCTGGGTAGCAGCCCAGGCTGCCCCTATACCAGGACCGGCCCTGGTTCTCGTCCAACATGTGATGGAACTGTAAAGGGAAGTTCAGTGCCAGAGACTCACCTGGCCGCACGCTGAGCGAAGCGTAAACCAGGACAGGCTGGAACTCTATAGGAATCTTGAATCATGAGATATGGCCGCAAGCCATTTCCCAACAGCAGCCAAACCATCGCCCCGTGCATGCTGAGAAACCGGATCATCGATATCAGTGATGCGCACGTGCGGGGGTCCACTGGGCCTTGAGGCAAGTGCTTGTAGGAGCGTGATCCATTGGGTCTCCTGGGAAATTTGGAAGTCTGATATGAAGCTGGTCATCGTTTCTGCATGCTTCAGCTATGTCACCATTCAGCCATGTAACCTTACTTCAGATATGGGAACATCTCATACAAGATGTGCATGTATGATAGCAAATCATTTCCCCTTGTCTCATTACATCTCAATTCCCAATAAATGTTGCCACCCGATGCCTCTTTCTTTGCAACTAACCCTTCAATCATGTATGCGCCGAGGCGCTAGATAGGGTCCCCTGTGATCGACACCACCCCACGTGCATGGCCAACCATCGTGTCAAAATCAGACCATTTCTTCTCATTAAGTGTTCTGGCACACGCCATCAGCAGTGATTTGATATCATTAACAGGAGGAGGAGCATCTGGCGTTGCTGCTGCTTCAGGCTGCATCATATCACTCCAACCGCAGCAGAACATGTTTCATCATCTGACTGCTGTTCGAGTTCTGGAAAAAAGTGGTGGGACTACTGCACTTATTCTCTGCATAGTGGAGGATAACTGCTAAAGTCCAGTTGAAGACTTTCGTTTGTGAGGTCCTGACTGCTACTAAAAGCAGTAGGGGTCTGGAAATTAATATAATCAGCAAATGGCAAATTGGAATAAGATGACAGGTTGAAATATAAGGAGTCAAACGAAGATATTGGAATAGGTAATGATTGAATCACGGGGAATGAAAAGAAGGATAAATATGCTTTAGGTCTCATCAGCTACTCCGGATACAGAATATTATCAACATGAGACCATGACATTGTATCAAAGAAAAGGTCAGCTTAACTTCTGTTGGTTCTAACGTTTAATCCAACCTACGAGAATATGTAAAAAAAACAATTAAGTTTTACATCCCTCATTGAAGAACAGAACTGGATAAACATCACGAAGAATAATGCGTAGTAATACAGTGTACCATTAGCGCACCTCAAACAACAATGTATGAACCCAAAATCTTCATTTTAACGTAACCTAGAAAAATTAGGGCTATTCTTATAATCCAGCTATATGATTGTTACAGACAATGCAAACAAACAAATACAGTTACTGCATCAAAAGTTATAATTTTTGTACACTATTTATGGTTTTCATGATTCCACAAAAACGTGAACACAAAAGGGAACTGATCGCAAGGTTGTGGGAAGTAGTGCTATATCTGTGTAGGCTACAATTCTTACAGAAGTGCCCCAACATATGCAACTGAATATGATTTGATGTAGCGGAAACAGGAGAGATTAAGAATCCTAGCAGCGGGAGACCATAAACCCCATAGCACGGTCTAAATGCGCTACACGAACCAAGAGGAAATGAAGGAATGTTCTCAGAAACCTTATTCCAAAGTTGAGATGCTTTCCTTGTCATGCTTTTCCAGAGGCCTGACGTTTATTGAAGCATGAAAGAGAAGGAAATTGCTACTTTAAAAGGCATCGATCGAATCGAATAGATAAGAAAAGGCGTCTGGTTCGTCATCATAAAAGTAGAGGGGGAATCAAAACGTGTAATAAACACAAAATGTGTTGAGGAGATGCGTCTCCGACTGGGTTGTAAATGGTCGGTGGATGCCAGGGGGGAAGCAACAAAGAACCTGTGGTCGGCGACTCGTCCCTCACCGCTTCGGTCAAATTCAACTCTGGAGTTCCGGACTCCGTCCTGCCCACGTGTATGCTCTAGTCATTATATTCAAATGTGCTGGAAAATAAACAAAGGGAAATAAACTTTAATAGTTTAATAAACTTTAAAGGGAAAATTGTCAAATAGGTAATCAAACTTTTACAAAAAAATCAATTAAGTCCTTCTATAGGAGACTCTGTCCGGTCGTCGCGATTTGGGCGGTTCCCAGTGGAATTTTTTGATGAAATTTTTTGTACATCTTATATATCAAGTCTAGTTTACTCATACCAAATTTCAGCTAAAAATTTAATCGGGAGCGCATTCAAATTAAATCGAGAACGCAAAAATGTGCAGTTATCTTCAAGAATAAATTTGAATGAGTTCCACATTGAATTTTTAGCTGAAATTTGGTATGAGTAAACTAGACTTGGTGAATAAGATACTCAAAAAATTTCATCAAAAAATTCCACCGAGAACTGCCCCAAATCGCGACGGCCGGACAGAACCTCCTACAGAAGGACTAAATTGACCTTTTTATAAAAGTTCGAGGACCTATTTGACAGTTTGCCCAACTTTAAAAATAAACAAAAGGAAAAAGTCTGGAGTTGTCAAACACCCTTGTTAAATACGTAGTAGTTTACTTTAATAGTTTTAGAAGAAATTAAATAGGGAAAACTATCAAATAAGCCCCCGTACTATGCCAAAAAGTCGATTAGGCCCTCGTACTTTACAAACACTCAATTAAGTCCTCGAACTATTAAAAAATGTTCAATTAAGCCCTTTTGGTCGGTAAGTGACTGATTTCCCGGTTAAACAACGACGACGACGACGATGTGCTCGAACCCCACCAACGGCGACTGGCGGGAAACAGGTTACATTTAATCGGGAAACCGGTTACTTACTGGCCAAAAGGGCTTAATTGAACGTTTTTTAATAGTTCGAGGACTTAATTGAGTGTTTGTAAAGTACGAGGGCCTAATTGACTTTTTCAGTATAGTATGGGGCTTATTTGATAGTTTTTCCAATTAAATAAAAATAGTGAAAGAACCAAAGGGAAAAACTATCAAAGTGAAACTCTAAAAAGGTTACTCCCAAGGCATTAAGGCCCTGTTTGCTTGGAGAGTTTCAGAGGGGAAGGAAGGAAAGGGAAGTGAGTGATTTGTGTGTGTTTGGTTGAAGGAAAAAAGGGGAAGGGGAGGAAAGTGGAAGACTTTCAAAATCATCCACTTCCTCTCATTCTCAACCCCCTCAAATCGGGGTATTTCGGGGGAAACGTGTTAATAATCACAAACTATACATCTCATATGTGAATGGACAAAACATTATAGTATAGAAAAGGTATAAAATAAAAATTTTAAAAAATAAAAAAAATAAAAAAATAAAAAACTAAAAAAAATAAAAAATTAAAAAAAAAACAAAATTTTAAAAATGCAAAAATTTAAAATTTTAAAAAATTACTCCGTAAAAAACTAAAAATTAAATATATATATATATATATATATATATATATTATGACTTATGACCTTAGGAGTAATATTCATAATAGTTAATTAGAGATGTATCTATTTTCTTAAGTGAACTATCAAATAAAGGTAAATTGGGAAAATATTTTCATTAAATATTTCCTCCTATTTCCTCCAACTAAACACAAATTTTTATCAAAATCCTTCCTTTCCCTTCCCTCCTTGACTCTCCCCTTCTCTGCCCTCCTTTGAACCAAACAAGACCTTAGGGAATATGTTAATGGAAGAAATAAACAAAAAAAACATGATGATCAAAATAAAAGGAAGAAATGGTCAAAATAATAAAAACAAAGTGATGTATGAAATCGTTTTTGAAAGTTGAAATTAATTTGTTTTAAGCATAATAAAAAATAATATGAAATGTAAATGTGATACAACTTTAATATTACATTTTTTTTTGTGCTGGCAAATCTATTACATTACTCCCTCTGTCCCAATTTGATGGTCTTGTTTCTTTTGGGCACAAAGATAAAGAAAGTGTGGTAGAAAGACTAAATAACCTTACTCTATTATGATGTTCATCCTTTTTACTTTTACTGTTCATTAAAAAGGAAGAGTATAAATAGTAATCCACTTTTAGTTCTTTACCAAAAAAGGAAACAATTTGCATAGACATATTTTGTCTGTGACTGGAATTCATAGACAAAAAAAAACTCATCACAGATATGATGAGTACAAAAGTGGGTATAAGAACGGGTAGAACCACTTTTTTCTTAATTTATTATATCGATGAACTTTTTAATATTGTGTGGACTGCTTATCCTTGAGATGGGTCAACACTCAACCAGCTTACATTTCCGTCAATCCGTGTACCCATTTATTTATATCGACGAAGACACAAACACGCCCACCCTTTATTCTACACATTATACATATATATACACGTATGCATAGCCCACCTCCATTCTATTCTCTTCTCTTCTCTTTTTCTGCCCGCGGATAATAATAATACCAGGTACACACTTCGTCCCTCCAGACTCATTATTTCTGCAAATGATTCGTAAGGTTGTAATTTAGACCCCGAGTTGAATTTCGCCGAAACGCTGACGGACGGTGGTTCCTACTCCGCCGACCGCAGCTTTCCTCTTTATTGCATCCACCCACCCATTTATATCCCATCGGAGACGCATCTCCTTTAATAAATCTGGCTTGCTCGCTCGCTCGCACGTTTTGAATCCACGTATCCCGCTACCAACGGAAAGCCTTTTCTTATCCATTCTAATGTAGCAATTTCCCTTCTCTTTCATTTTGACTCCAAAATGCTTAATCTTCTCTTAAAGGCCTTTGGAAAAGCATAACCCCAACTTAACTTTTAAATGAGGTTCTTACAACATTCCTTCAAATTCTTACTTTCTCTTGGTTCTTGTAGCTCAGTCAGTGGTTTGGGATACATGGTTACCGACTGTTAGATTGAGTTGCATAGATAGATTAGCGGACCACTTTCAATCTTTCACTGTTATTTAAGAATTGTACGCTACAGAGCTAACACTACTTCCAGGCACTCACTTCCCTTATGCGGTTATCTTGTTCACATTATTTTGGAATTATGAAAAATATATCATTAAATTATAAATAATGGACCAAAAATGTGTAATTTTGGTGCACAGTGACTATATTAGTTATTCCACAATGACATGATATTCTTTTACGTTGTAGTTACAGTTGATATTTTATATGAAGTACTACGTATGTGACTGCAGTGACCATTCAGCAACAACATCCATGACTTAACCCCAAAAGAGCATATTGTCATATTTTTTCCCATGAGTTGTATTATAACAACAGCCCCTTTTACACTAGGTTACATTGAAATGATGATGTTTGGTTCATAGATTGTTATTTGAGGTGCACAGTTTTGTTGTGTAAGAGTTTTCTCAAGATTACGATGCCAAATTGTTATTCTTCATGATGATTATGCAGCTATGTTCTTCAATATTATGCAGGCTGTAAAACTTTATTGTTTTTTTATATTCTTGTAGGTTGTGTTAAAAGTTAGAACCAACAGAAGGTGGATAGACCTTTTCTTGGCAGTGTGTTACAGTCTTATGTTGATAATATTCTGTGCTTGGAGCAGCTGATGCTGCCATCCCATACATGATAGTATGGACTCGCATAAGTTTTTTGCACACATCAGAACTGGAGCAGATTTATCGTTCTCTTCATTTCCTGCGATTCAATCCTTACCTAATCCAATATCTTCTATTGACTGCTTAAAGTTTAACCCGACAAGTTCTCCCAATTCGCCCTTTACTGATTATATTGATCCCCAAACCCATACTGCTTTTCGTGACAGTCACGATCCCACAACCGAAAATCTTCCACTGGACTATAGCAGTTATCCTCAATTGTGCAGTAGTCCTACCACTTTTCTCCAAAATTTGAACCGCAGTCAGTTGATGAAACGTGTTCTGCTGCAGTTAGAGAGTGATTTGATGAGGCCTGAAGAAGGGACAATGTCAGCTCCTCCTCCTATTAATGATATCAAATGGTTACTTACGGCGTGTGCCAGAGCACTTGACGAGAAGAAACTGTCTGATTTTGACAGACTTGTTGACCACGCGCGTGGGTTGGTGTCTATCACGGGGAATCCTATCCAGCGCCTAGGCGCTTACATGATTGAAGGGTTAGTTGCCAGGAAAGAGGCATCGGGTAGCAACATTTATAGGGCATTGAGATGTAATGAGCCAACGGGAAAGGATTTACTATCGTACATGCACATCTTGTATGAGATTTGCCCGTATCTAAAATTTGGTTACGAGGCCGCAAATGGTGCCATAGCTGAAGCATGCAGAAACGATGACCGCATTCACATCATAGACTTTCAGATTGCACAGGGGGGCCAATGGATAACGCTCCTACAAGCACTTGCCGCAAGGCCCAGCGGTCCCCCGCACGTGCGCATCACTGGGATCGATGATCCGGTTTCTCGCCATGCCCGGGGAGATGGCTTGGCAGCTGTCGGGAAACGGCTCGCGGCCATATCTGAGAGATTCAAGATTCAGGTAGAGTTCCACCCTGTCCCGGTTTACGCTTCGCTAATCACCATAGATATGCTTGGTGTGCGGCCGGGTGAGTCGCTGGCAGTGAACTTCCCCTTACAACTCCATCACACACCGGACGAGAGCGTTGACGTGAAGAATCCGAGGGATGGGCTTTTGAGGTTGGTGAAATCGATGTCCCCCAAGGTGGTCACATTGGTGGAGCAGGAATCAAACACCAATACAGCGCCTTTTTTCCCAAGGTTCAAAGAAGCTCTGGACTACTACTCAGCAATGTTTGAATCGCTGGATGTTGTCCTGGCAAGGGACAGGAAGGAGCGGATCAATGTCGAGCAGCACTGCCTGGCAAGAGACTTGGTGAACGTGATTGCTTGTGAGGGGAAGGAGAGGGTGGAGCGGCATGAAATGTTGGGGAAGTGGAAATCGAGGTTCAATATGGCCGGGTTTCAACAGTACCCTCTCAGTTCCTACGTCAATTCAGTCCTGAAGGGCCTCCTCAAGTGTTACTCTGAGCATTACACAATTGTTGAGAAAGATGGGGCTATGCTATTGGGATGGAAGGAAAGAAACCTCATCTCCACATCTGCTTGGCACTGAGTCTGTCATTCATAAAACGCATTGGGAAGTTGTAAAAGCTCTGTATCCAAAAAAACGAAGTAGGAAAGCCAAAAAACATGACTTTTATTGGGAGACAGGGAGTAGTCAGGTAAACGTACACACGTAGTGCATAGAAGATATACGAAGTTTGATGCAGTCGAGCAGATGACGATGGTAGTCCTTAGGCAATGATTGTAAAATAGGGGCTTTTGGACGGAAAAATGTAACCAATTTATTGTTTTTACTCTTAATCTTATTTGAAATATTCTTTTTACTCCTATTTAGGGTTATTTATGAAAACGTGTCTTTGCTTAATTTGTTTACATAGTTTCATAAGTTGGATTTTTTAATGAAGTTTATCCTATAATATTACTTAAATAATTATTATAGTAAAAGTTGAATATAATAATATACACTAAAAGTTAGGGAAAGTTACCGAAATGGGACTAAAAAAGTTCGAAAATTCCAAAATAGGACTGTCATGTTTTTATTCCCAAAATAAGACTAATTACTGCCAAATTTGGAAAACACTGCCATGTTTGAAGTCTGATACTGTCAAAACATGACAGTAATTAGTCCTATTTTGGGGAAAAAAACATGGAAGTCTTATTTTGAAATTTTCAAACTTTTTTAGTCCCATTTTGGGTAATATCTCTAAAAGTTATTAAGCTGCATTTTTTGGCAACTATCATTATCTTGGATGTGTATTAGACATTATTTCCTTTTTAATACTCTAAACTCAGTTTGAAATAAATATTAGTAATGTTTTTTTTTTAAATTGTAGTTTAATAATTGTCCTAAAAATGGGGAGAAATGGATATGAACTGGTTTAGAGCTAGGCCGGTATCAGAGACCCATAGGCCACACCCTGGTCCACCCCCAAAGTACCATGGACCGGCCGGTCCGGAAATTGCAATCAGTTTAGAAATAGACCGTCTATCCCTTCCCCTTGATACGATAGAACAACCATTGAAAACGTCTTATTATAGTTTATTCACTTGATAGTCTCCACATGCGCTATCCGAATAATCTGATGCCTCGTGCTTAATTTTACAAACTCGTTTACAACCTCACAATTACAAATTTTATCATTTACAACCTCCACAATTACAAACCTCATCATTTTTACTTTCTTATTTTTGACAAAAGAAAAATTAATTATCATTAATCAAATTAAAACCAAAACTTTAAACAATAAGTGAAGGAAGTGTAGAAAGCCAAACTAGAGAATCATACCAGAAACCAGTCACCCTATTCCCTATTTAATGAATCAGCAACTTGGTCCGTTAATCGCCATCTCACATGAGAAAAACCAACATTAGTAATTTTGCCGCTAATAAATCAAACATCAATAAGTTTTCTCTCATATTAATTCCAGATTTTACCTTCACTAAATCTGATCAAGTGAGACTTCAGTGGTGCGAGATATCCTCAGAGACTATGAGGAGACGTGTATTGGATTATAAACTACACTAAACTAAAAAAAAAATCAATTTAAATACCGAGAAAATTTTGGTGAATTTTTACTTGGTGATTTTTTACTTGTGACATCATGTTCAGATTTTTATAGTCTTGCCATGTATCCCTATACTTCAATTCAATATTTTTATTTACCAATATGTTTCTCACTTACTCTTTACGGAATTTTATGGTATACTTCTACCAAGGGAGCAAGTCTTACCTCATCAATTCAAATACTTAGTACATACAAATCCACAAAGTATGTGAGAAGCTCTTGGCGCACCCGAGCCACCGACACCTCATGAATGCCCCCTCGCCTCTTGTTGACGTAATAGCGCACTCAACACTTCAACTATAACTAAAACTAAGGGGGTGTTTGGATCTGATTCTCAAAACTGATTCTGCTCCTTCAGGGAACAGAAGTAGGAGATGGAGTGTTTGCGTGAAATTCTAGAAGCACTTCTGGTGCTCTAAATTACTCCCAGAATCAGTTTTTTTAGAAGCTGGGGGGTACCAGCTTCTGAAAACTGATTCTGATTCTGCTTCTGCTTTAAAAAAGAAGCAGAAGCAAAATCAGTTCCAAACACCCCTAAATAAAGTGAAAGCAGATGCTTTTTGAAGTCCTCTCCAGGAGCAAGATCAGTCCCAACTCCAAAATCATCAAAAGGAATGGAATATGTCACCGTTCTAATACATTCAAGCACCGGCCCGGCCCGGCTACTGTTTGGGGTGGACTCGGGCCGGGCGGCCCGGCCCGGTTACTGTTTGGCCGGGCCCGGCCCGGAGCCCGGTGGGTCCACCGGTTCGGTTCGGCCCGGCCCGGCTGCTGGGCGGTTCGGGCTCGGGCCCAGGTTTTGGCGAACCGGCCCGGCCGGTTCGGGCCCGGTTCGGGCCGATTTTTATTTATTTTTTTTTTGAATTTTTTTTAAGTTTTGGATTGAATTAGGTATTTTGGGCCATTTGAGGTGGTTTGGGGTGGTTTGGGGTTGAGGGGGAGGGGTTGGGGGTTAAATAGAAGAGCCAAAAAAAAAAATTATAACCGGTTAGGCCCGGCCCGGCCCGGTTTGGCCCGGAACCGGAACCGCCCACCGGCGGTTCGGGCTCGGGCCCAACTTTCCTGGCCCGAGGCCCGGCCGGGCCCAGGCCCGAACCGGGCCCGAACCGGCCCGAGTCCACCCCTACACCGGCTATGCCTAGCGCTCCGTGAAGCCTAGATGGTGTGCATAATTCCTTCTAAAGAAGGCTACTCTACATGTTCATGCATCTTACTCATATCTAATTTGAAGGCCATGAAACCAACATCACATTGCGCTTCATAAAATGTTGAGATTCAAATGTAATCATATATTTTTAATAATGATAAATGTGATCATATATTTTAATAATGAAAAAATCACTTTGATTTTCAAAAAAACATTCATTCAAAACGATTATATTAATAATATTAAATGATAAGGGTATTACCTATTAGCTAAAATTTTAGAAATATATCTTACACAGAACATGATATGGGCCGCCAATAACCTCCGGTCTCTCCTTTTTTGGTATCAAAACCATACAGGTGTGATTAATTCTCTCAGACAATCTTCCCATTTCAAAAGTTACCTTACAAAAGTCTGTCACATCCGGGCTCATGACGTGTAACATCTAAATTTGGTCAAAACTTACTCTACAAGATGAGTTTTCTTATATACTCTGGAGTGTGGAGTTAACATGGCTAACGGCTAACCTTGTATTACATGACAAAGCAAGGAACGGTATCAAGTAGATGTGAACACGGGCTAGTTCCGATATGACTTTACCCCGGCTAGTTCGGGTAGTGGTAGCCTTGTAGGGAAAAGGACTCGCCTAGTCCTATTTTATTACCCTATTTTTCAGAACAAAAATGGAAGCAGGACAAAAATCCTAAAACCCTTTACCAGCTTAATTCAGGTCTGGTCCCTGGTCTGATCCCCAGTCCATAGCACACCATAGTAATGAATACTCGATTTGTACATAAAAGAAAAACATATACCATCTTATAAACTTCAAATCACAGAATAGTATGTAAAAATTGTATACCCTTAATAGTCAAAAGATTAAAATATATATATATATATATATATATATATATATATATATATATATATATATATATATATGAATTTAATTTAATTTAAGAGAAGAAACTTAAGCAGCAGCAGTCTTGAGTTTCTTGGTGATGGTGGCAATGTATTTCCCCTGGTGAAAAGCCTGCTGGAGTTCAAGTTCAGATGGTTGTCTGGAGCCATCCCCAGCAAAAGTTCCAGCCCCGTAAGGACTTCCACCTTTGACGGTCTCCATCTCAAACATGCCCGCCCCAAATGTGTATCCAATGGGAACAAAGATCATACCATGATGAACAAGCTGTGTTATGGCCGTCAACCTAGACAAAATCCAAAATAGTTCCACAATTTTTTACATTCAAAATTTCAAATAAATAAATGTTCATATTAAATACTACTTACGGGGTTGTCTCCTGCCCACCACCTTGGGATCCAGTGCTGTAGAAGATGCCAGCGGGCTTGCCAGCCAGCTGTTGGGTTCTCCATAGACCTCCAGTTGAATCAAGAAATGCTTTGAATTGAGCCGCCATCATACCAAACCTTGTAGGGAAGCCAAAAACAAACCCATCGGCTTCGGCCAGTTCTGTAGGTGTAATTAAAGGCACATCACTCTTTGGAGGTGCACTCATTTTTGCAAGTACCTCATCTGAAACGGTTTCTGGCACCTGTTATTACATGTAGCAATTTTAGAGAGCTTAATAACTACATGCTGAACCCACATACTTAGTAATTCAAAAATGCAAACCTAAATCAAACCCGAAGTATGCTCCAAAGAAAACCATCTTTGCGATATTTTTGCACCACTTCATTCCAGAGATATCTTTACCTCTCTTCTTAGAGACGGGGGTAGATTGTAGAATAATTATTTCTATATCATATCTTACATTGCAGTCTTTTGGCTCTTTTACTACAACCAATTTCCCATTATTCACCATCATGAATCAAACCTAAGCAAACCCAGTAATCCCATTTGGAAGTAACAGTTTTGGATGGTACAATGTATGCAAACCTAAACTCCAGGAGTAGAGAGGTTGTTTCTATGAAGACTCAAGGCTAAGAGAAAAATGGAACATTTGCATCATTTGAAAAAAAAATGATGATTTCGATTTTAAAAAATGTAGAAAAAAATGACATCTAAACAATAAAATAAGGCAGTGTGAACAGTGGAGTATCGACATTGAATCGGAGATGTAATTAGTTCTAACCATGACCTTATGATCACTCGTCAAGAACAAAGAAACCTTGTTTTGTTTATACAGAGGAGAAACAAAGCTCTCATGCAATCTTACTTAAAGATCAATGTCCATGTCTACAAACGTTAAATGCACCGCAATAAATTTGACTAAAAAGAAAATGACTCTAATTTTTGTATCTTCTCCTTCCATTCTCTCCTTTACCTTCATCTAAGATCAAGAAACAAAATGTGCTCAAACAGTGCAACTATGCAAGTAAAAGTTCAGAAAAGAGAATGAGATGTAAGATTATTATTATTATTACTACATGCATTATGATTAGTGTTTTACATATGTAGATATCAAAATGCTTTCATTTCAAGAATAGCAATTACATATAGAAATGAGATGAGAGGATATCCATAAGAGTGCAGTAACTGATACGAACCCAGAGACGTACCAAATTAATCCCAATAGGGATTTTTCAAAGGTCTATATCCGTAGGGGTAAAAGAGGGAATTTAGGAGCAGAAAAAGATCGTGGAGGCATAACCAACGAAGGGCATAAAGCGTAACCGAAGAGGGAGTGGACGGCAGTTTTTGACTTACGCAGAACTTGCCGGGAGAGAGAGACCCTCTCGAATTGGTCTCATTCGGGATTTACATTCTCGTTACTTCTATCGTTTGTTTACGCAAGATCTTTGTTGTAATTCCAGACTTTCAGTGTTTATAATACTTAATATATTGTGGGGAGTAGCTTGTTACTATCATTGATATCAGAGCGTCGATCGCAGGACTGTGGATGCCCGTTACTAGATCGCAGATGGAGAATAGAATTGACAGTTTGGAGCACTCAGTGAAAGAGATGCGCGAGGCGATGACGAACTTCATCAACCAGAACAACCGACGACAAACCAGGGGTCGTTCACGCACGCCCAGGCATCGCCGACTATCTGGAAGTGTGGGCTCCTCACGTGCGGAGAGTCATTCTGAACATTCTCGGACTCCTTCCACTCACCAGGATACTCCTATTAACAGAGAGAGGATTCGCACCGGAAGAAAGGTGGACCTACCCTTGTTCAACGGTAATGATGCACATGGATGGATTATCAAGGTTGAGAGGTTTTTCAAGCTTAACCAGGTGGCCGACGAGGAGAAGCTGGAATTGGTGCAAGAATCGGAAGAAGAAATAGAAGTTCCAGTAGAAACGGAAGAGGAGGCAATTGGTGGAGAACTTAAATCCCAGCAGTTGAATATCTTGAGTAAGGAGGGCATACACAACCAGAATACTTTTAAAGTCAAAGGTCAAGTGAGAAGCTTGGACAAAAAGATATCAGTGGTCGTTCTTATTGATTCGGGTGCTACCCACAATTTTGTTTCACGAAACTTGGTGGAAGAAATGGGTTGGGATTACAACAGCCACGTTGGGTTCCAAGTGAAACTGGGAAATGGAGACCAGATAGTCAACCGAGGAAGGTGTGAACAGTTACAACTCTGGGTGCAGGGCATAGAAATCAAACAAGATTTCTATCTTTTGGAGTTAGGTGGAACTGATTTGATTCTGTGTTAGAAACTTGCAATTCTAGTCTTACAGATCACAGAATTGGTTCAAGAATTATCTCAAAGGCAACTTTTATTCTCAAAGGCAACAATGGCCGAAGGCCTAAGGCAACAGACTGCGTACAGTTTACAAATCAAATTCAGCATATCCCTACAATTACTAATGCTTATTCTATTTATAGTAGGACAGGTCAACACCCGGTTAGTTATTAGATCAGACAGACTTGACTAATAACAAACCCTATTTCTTCTAGAAAACACTTTATTGAATTATTTATCTCTTATCTTCATATTTGTAAAGTCTCTATCAAATCTCCCCTCCTGAACATCCACCTTGCCCTCAAGGTGGGCGAAAGGTGACAGCCAAGACTTCTTGCTTCTTCTTCATTCTGGCGCTCCTGCCTTCCCAATATTTCACAAATTTCTGAGAGAAAAGCTTCATTGTTCGATCTTTCCAACTCACAGATGTTTCCCGAACCTCTTTGCTATTGTGATGCAACCCAGGAACTGTACCACCTATTGTGCATGAAGATACAAAGTCAGCTCCTTCCTTGGTCTGTATATTATGATCAATAATCTTTTGTTCCATGTTCTGTTCCTGCTCTTTCTCTTTATAATACAGTAGATACCCCTCCACAGTTGGTTGCAGAATCTGTGCATTGATTGTGATAGAAACATCTTTGTCAATGAGGGCTATATCCCCTTTAATGGAACAGATTTGATTCTCTTGCTTCCAAATGATGGTCTGGTGTTGGAAGTTGACTGCCATATTTCCCAATTGAGTTAACCATTCCATACCAAGCACCAATTCTGTCCCTCCTAACTCTAAGATGTAGAATACTTGTTGTATTACATTTTCTTGTACCTCTAATTTCAGTCCCAAACATCTGCCATTATTGGGAATGAACTCCCCATTACCAGTCTGGACCTTATAGCCTTTTATTTGATGGTAAGGAATTGTATACTTATCCACCAAATTCTGTGATATGAAATTGTTGGAAGCACCACAATCAATGAGAATGTTTACTGGTTTCTCTCCTGTAGACCAGCTTAGTTTTCCCCTTACTTTAAAAGTTCTCATAGAATGTATACCTTTATGGCTGAGCACAGACAATTGCATTGATTTTAGTTCAGGATGAGGTCCTTTTTCTTCTTCAGAACTGCTGCAATCCACTTCAGTTTCTGCCTCTTCTTCAGATTGTTCCATCAGAACCATTTTGAAATTTTTCATCCGGCATACATGCCCTCTATTCCAGTTTTCCCCACACTTGAAACATAATCCCTTCTTGCTTCTTTCTATCACTTCCTTTTGGGATAAACTGGGGCCTAGTTTTCCGGAGTTAGAGCCCTCACCACTCTCCACACTCTTATTTCCAGAAGACTGTGTAGGATTTGGATTCCTGCTACTTCTAATCTCTTCTTCCCATTTGTGATAACTGCTTCCTTTAGATGCAGTGCTCTTCCATGGCCTTTTCCCTTCTTCTTTATTCCTTCTGAACATTATTTCCTCATTCTTATTCTCTATTAGTTGTGCATTATCCATGATTTTAGCAAGATCTTTGGTCTTATATAACTTCAGCTCAGCCTTGATATCTTTCTTTAACCCATTCAAGAAGATACCCCTCATAACCTTCCTGTCCAGACCTTCTTGAGAAGCAATAGCTGTTTCAAATAGTTCTCTGTACTCTTGTACAGAATTTTTCTGTTTCAAACTCAACAAAGGGCCCAAAGGATTCTGGATCAACTCAGGCTGAAACCTTCGAATCAGTGCCTTCTTCAACCTTTCCCAATTCCTCTCTCTGGCCTGTTTCTCCCACCATTGAATCCATCCCAGGGCTTTGCCTTCCATGGCTACTACTGCAACTTCTATCTTCTCCTCTTCTTCTATATTGTTGAGTCGGAAATAGCGCTCAATCCTGACCAGCCAGCTAAAAGCGTCTTCACCGTTGAATAAAGGTAGGTCTACCTTTCTGTGCGTCGGACGATGATGGTGGCGATGCCGGTGTTGTGGTTGAGCGAACTCCAAATGACCTTCCGATCCTTCGGAACTGTCAGACGATCGCAGTGAGTGATGATGCGATGAACGATGCGATGAGCGATGCGATGTATGGTGCGAGGTCGAGGAAGTTCGCGATCGACTCCTTGATCGATGCTGTTCTCGCGTCTTCAGCCTAGCTATCGATGCCTGAAGAGCCGCGAACATATCCCTCGTCTCTTGTTGCGATTTTTCCAATTCTTCTATTCTGGCTTCCATCTTCGCGCGCGTCACTACCATCCACAGTGAACGAGGTCTCTGATACCAATGTTAGAAACTTGCAATTCTAGTCTTACAGATCACAGAATTGGTTCAAGAATTATCTCAAAGGCAACTTTTATTCTCAAAGGCAACAATGGCCGAAGGCCTAAGGCAACAGACTGCGTACAGTTTACAAATCAAATTCAGCATATCCCTACAATTACTAATGCTTATTCTATTTATAGTAGGACAGGTCAACACCCGGTTAGTTATTAGATCAGACAGACTTGACTAATAACAAACCCTATTTCTTCTAGAAAACACTTTATTGAATTATTTATCTCTTATCTTCATATTTGTAAAGTCTCTATCATTCTGGGAATAGAATGGCTGTCTAGTCTTGGTGAAGTAAGGGTTGATTTTCGAGAATTATATGTCACCTGGAAGGAATCGGGACTAGAAAGGAGGCTGACAGGAGGCTATGCTTTGAATCAAGCTAAAAATTCTTGGAAGACAACACTTAAAGCCCTACAGACGCAAGGGAAGGGCTATTATGTGCACTGCAGTGAATCAGATTCATGTTTCGAAGGGTATGCAAATGGAGAAGAGTGGGAAGAAATATTACAAGCATACTCCCCGGTTTTCCAGAAGCAGCCGGGTTTACCTCCTAGAAGAGAGTGAGATCACTCTATCAATATAAAAGAAGGGGCTCCCATTCCTAACTCCAGACCATACAGATACCCACATTACCAAAAGACTGAGATAGAGAAACTGGTACAAGAAATGTTGATAACCGGAATACTAAGGCCAAGTACCAGCCCTTATAGCAGTCCAGTTATCATGGTGAAGAAGAAGGAAGGAGGATGGAGGATCTGTGGAGATTACCGAGCCCTCAACAAAATCACTATTCCGGAAAAGTTCCCTATTCCAGTGATAGAAGAGCTATTGGATGAGCTGGGTGAAGCTAAAATATTCTCTAAACTGGATCTGAAATCCGGATATCACCAGATCCGAATGAAAGAAAGTGATATTCCCAAGACAGCCATCAGAACCCATGAAGGTCATTATGAGTATGTTGTAATGCCTTTCGGATTAGCTAACGCTCCTTCTACCTTTCAGGCTTTAATGAATCAGGTCCTTAAACCTTATTTGAGGAAGTTTGTGTTGGTGTTCTTCGACGACATATTGATTTATAGTAAAAACAAGGAAGAACATGCTGAACATCTAAGAAAGATTTTGCAGCTTCTCCAAGATAATCAATTGGTGGTTAACAAAAAGAAGTGTTACTTTGGGCAGAAAAAGTTGATTTACTTGGGCCATATAATCTCTGGTCAAGGTGTATCCGCTGATCCAAGCAAAATTCAGGATATGATCAATTGGAATTTTCCTTCAGATGTAAAGGGGCTTAGGGGTTTCCTGGGGTTAACTGGTTATTACCGGAGGTTTGTGCAGGGGTATAGCAAGATTGCTAAACCACTTACGGATTTATTAAAGAAAGATGGATTCAAATGGACTGAGGAGGCCAAGGCTGCATTTGAGAAACTGAAACAGGTTATGACTCAACTACCAGTGTTAGCAACTCCTAATTTTAACCAACCTTTTATCGTTGAAACTGATGCTTCTGGCCAAGGCATTGGGGCGGTATTAATGCAAGGTGGTAGTCCTATAGCCTACATGAGTAAGGTCCTTTCTACAAGGAATCAAAACAAATCTGTGTATGAAAGGGAATTGCTTGCGATTGTGATGGCGGTTCAAAAGTGGAGACCATATTTCTGACAGAACAAAGGCTTGTGAGTGAAGAACAACAAAAATGGGTGGCTAAACTCATGGGCTACAATTTCGTTATCAAATACAAGCCGGGGTTGGAAAATAAGGCTGCTGATGCCTTGTCCAGAAAGGGAAATTACCAAGCTTTGTCTGTTGTAAGTTGTCAAGAATGGGAGGGGCTAGAAGAAGAATTATTGCAAGATAAACGATGCAAACAGCTCATTCAAGATCTGTTAGTCCAGCCAGATGCACATCCAGGGTTTAAGTTAAAAAAGGGGCTGCTTTATTACAAGGACAGACTCATGTTGCCCAAGGGATCTCCCCGAATTACTACGGTACTGACAGAATTTCATGATTCAGCCAGTGGTGGACATTCGGGATATGTCAGAACCTTAAAGAGAATAGCTAGTGTGCTGTATTGGGATGGGATGAGGTCGGAAATCCAGAAATGTGTGCGCAGTTGTGAGGTTTGCCAAAGAAATAAGTACCAGACATTAAGCCCCGCCGGGTTATTGCAACCTCTGCCTATTCCAACTCACGTTTGGGCTTACATCAGCCTAGACTTTATAGGAGGACTTCCAAGAGCAATGGGCAAGGATACTATACTTGTTGTGGTCGACAGGTTAACAAAATTCGCTCATTTTATTGCGTTAGCTCACCCCTATACGGCTAAAGGAGTGGCAGAGATATTCATCCAGGAAGTTGTGAAACTGCATGGGTTTCCAAAGACCATAGTTTCAGACCGGGACAGTGTGTTTTTAAGTTCATTTTGGTCAGAGCTTTTCAGGTTGGCAGGTACTCAACTAAAATACAGTACTGCCTATCATCCCCAGACGGATGGGCAGACTGAAGTGGTAAATAGATGTGTGGAAACCTATTTGAGATGCCTCTCTGGGACAAAACCAAAGCACTGGCCAAGATGGTTACCATGGGTAGAGTATTGGTACAATACTAATTACCATGCCTCGTTGAAGACTTCCCCTTTTAAGGCTTTATATGGTCAAGACCCACCAACTTTATTCAAGGGAGATGCTACACTTTCCGCTGTGGAGGAAGTCACCAAACTCACGGCTGAGAGAAATGACATGCTTAGAGAACTGCAGCAGAATTTGGCAATGGCACAAAATAGGATGAAGCAACAAGCAGACAAGCATAGGAGGGAAGTTCAACTAGAACTTGGAGACAAGGTATTTCTGAAAATACAGCCTTATAAGCTGAAGAGTTTAGCAAAGCGAAGGAACCAGAAGTTAAGCCCCGGGTTTTATGGGCCATTTGAAGTGATAGAAAAGATAAATCCTGTGGCTTATAGGTTAAAACTGCCAGAAGGTTGTGCGGTGCATCCAGTTTTCCATGTTTCATTACTAAAGAAAACTGTTACGCCTAACATTCCTAGCCAGCCTCTACCAAGTTGTTTGTCGGAGGAATGGGAACTACAAACTCAGCCAGAGAGAGTGGTGGATGCTAGAATGACACCTACTGGACACAGGGAGATCTTAGTACATTGGAAAGATTTGCCTCAATTCGAAGATTCTTGGGAGGACTTGCTGCAGTTCCAGTCCATGTTTCTAGACTTTCACCTTGAGAACAAGGTGAGTTTTGAAGGGGAGGGTGATGATACGAACCCAGAGACGTACCAAATTAATCCCAATAGGGATTTTTCAAAGGTCTATATCCGTAGGGGTAAAAGAGGGAATTTAGGAGCAGAAAAAGATCATGGAGGCATAACCAACGAAGGGCATAAAGCGTAACCGAAGTGGAAGTGGACGGCAGTTTTTTACTTACGCAGAACTTGCTGGGAGAGAGAGACCCTATCCAATTGGTCTCATTCGGGATTTACATTCTCGTTACTTCTATCGTTTGTTTACGCAAGATCTTTGTTCTAATTCCAGACTTTCAGTGTTTATAATACTTAATATATTGTGGGGAGTAGCTTGTTACTATCAGTAACTCAACAGCTGAACAATAACTCCATAGCTTTGAATCCGATGATTACTAAGGTGGCTCTACAAAACCGTTAATAAGGTTGGAGGAAACCAACCTAAATAATCAATACACCATATGGAAGACAACACCCCTAAAATATTTAGAAATGGAAAAAGGCCAGTACCATATATATACCATTGAAAATGACACTTAAGTCCCAAAGCAGTCGGAGAATAGCTGATCGACTCAGCTCTCCAATATACGCGTAAAACATAAATTATCATTTCAATCATGGAAAAAAGGGTGGCCCGTTGAAATGTTTAAAAAAGATATTGAATTATGTAATGTATCTAAAACTTTAAGGATCTAGAATCCCAACTCCTAATAGATATACTCATTTTGTAGTGCCAACTGTTTATGTCAAAGGTAGTAAGCTACTAAATGGAAATGCTAAAATTTAATATGAACCTAAATCCATTGAAAACGTCAGTCATCTTTATTCAATAATTCCTATTAAGATCATTCAGCTAATATATCGCTAGGTTGACTAAACCTTCACTTTATATCATATACGTAGTATCATATAAGGCTAGCCAGACAAGATGTGAAGAACACATTCTAGTAGACAGGAGAGAACATTTTAAAGGAAAAACTCAACGCTTATTTGCAAGAGTCACACATCAAATAGAACCCTACTTGCCACAACTTGGCTTCAACACCTTCTACAGATGAGGCCCCTTTCTTTATCTCTTCTGCAAGTTTCCCCACATGTCCATACATAGAGTAATATCTAAAAGAACACAAATTGAATAGCCATGTCAGATAAAATACAAGCAAAAGATTGCATCGAAACAGTGATAAACTAATCTCTGAGCACAAGCAAGCAAATTCGTAATAGTTGTGAATATCCTTCAACCCAAGGTTTTCTGGCACTACATTGTGCAGCAGTGAGAAATACTATTATCATACTACATTAAGTGTAAACAGAAACCACACTCACATTACCTCAATGGAAAAGAACAAAAATTGGGAAATGCTAGGAAAAGAGAAAGAAATTACTGCAAAGAAGAAAACATGGATCACACGTGCAAATATTAGTGTCTTTTTTGTGCTAAAAAAAGGATTCATTCAGTCTTAGAATGGAATACAAGTAGTCCAAATATGGAATTTTACCTAAACAAAATTGGTAGAAAATATAGGAGCAATTTGGAAGCACGGAAGATGTTGAGAAAATTAGTGCAATCAACCAAACTAGATTAATCTTTGTTTATTTTATTTTTGAACGCATGTTTGTTCATTTATTTTGTATAAATAATACACAATTTAAATAAATGTTATGATGTCAAAGAAAAAGTTAACCATACTTCAATTTCCTTTGCATTTTCAAGACTAGATTTTCAATACTAAATTCAATACAAGACAAAACATTCCTAAGCATTTTCTTTCATTTTTGCAGCACTTTCCAGGATCCAAACATAGCCTTTAAGTATTCACTTCACCACGTTTTTTCCTTATGCCCAACATTTTCTGTTTTGCTAAGCAAATGACCAGAGTCACCGATACGATGATCGTGTATTCTTGTTGTAAAGTGATGCAGTATCCACTACCAAACTGAATATGGATTTTTGTATGCTATTGACAAATTAAAAATAAGGATTTATTCCATTGGACTGAAATTTTCTAATCCATTTAGTTCATTTATGTCTAATCAAATCTTTATATGCTAGTAGTTTTGGTCTAGTCTGATCTGGTTTCATATTATTTTTTAATGGTCCTATCTAAGTTGGTCTGTTTAAGTGGTTCGTTTAGGCTTGGTCTAATAAATCAAGTGAGCACCTAAAATTTCCGAAGATGATACTTATATCAAAATATTTAAATGTATAATCGTGAGAGTCTACTACTACTACTAAGTTGATTAGATTCCACCAGAAATTGATCAAATGAACCCAAATTCAGATGGAAAGAGATTTAATAAGAAAGATTTTGTACAAATATCACCACCACCAACTAATACACTACGAGTCTTTGTTTTTATAACGAGTCATTTTTTTCATTTCAGAAACGTAAAGAAAATAATTAGCAGATCAGGCCTGATCAGCTGATCTTCACTCTACGGCACCAGCAGATTATGCAAAAAACATGAGTACAAATCTTAATCATTTGCTAAATGGGAAAAAGTCAAAATGGCTTTCATATCACGAGTTGCGATCAACCGCAAAGCCAAAAGGAAACTGTGAGATAAACTGCCACTTCAAGAATTTAAGCATGGGGCTTCTAATTATTGGATGGTCAAATCTAGGGAGCGGATAAAAGATTAATCGACTTACACGATGTAAACTTTGGCCGCCATTATCGATCTGGTTTTGAACTGAGAAAGATGGATTGGAATAGAAGGCGTTGACTAGTGAGATGCCACAATGCAGAGCGGTTATTTGAGATAGTATGATACGACCACGCTATTTGAGGTATACTTCAATAGAAGACATTCTTACGATATTTGAAGAAAAAATATTTGTACTCCCAGGTTTCTATAGAAGAAAATTAAAAAGATGTTTTTTTGAAAGGAAAAATTAAAAAGATGTTAAAGATAAATTAAAATTAAACAATCTACTCGTGACATGTTTTTTTTAAAGAAGGTGACTTATATTAAAAGAACAGAACGTATAAGCATGATACAACCAGACAAAGAGTTTACGTTTTACCGCCCGTTCTTGAACCTGACTTAGAATATGCCACCTCTAAAGAAGCAACCAGATTCGATGATCTTGAATTGGGCTTACCCAAGTCAATGACTGGCAAACTAGACTCCTCATCACATGAGCTATGTTCAAGAGGTTTGACGTTAATAAAAACTAAAGCAAACAAAAACAGACGTATAATGTTTTCTTTTGGACTGAAATTTGCTGGTCTGGTCTGGTCTATTCTGATCTGGTCTGGTCTGATCTGGTCTCTGTGTATTTTATAACTACGGAATTATGGTCTGGTCTCTGTGTATTTTATAACTACGGAATTATGGTTTGGTCTCTGTGTATTTTATAACTACGGAATTACGGTCTGGTCTGGTCTGGGACTGAAAACAGTCCAAAAGAAAACACCTGTAGTACGAAACAAAAAACAACAGTATGATAGAAAGTCTAAGATTGAAAAGTTCTTCTGTCCGCAGAAAGCACCAAATCTTCATGGATTTTGTGGGTCTGTATGCTCCAGCCTGCCTCTTCCCTGTTTTTTGCCCCATCAAGAGTCATGACATCCCCCTCTGAATTCTCATGCTCATGTACTTACCAAGTGCGTCTTCTCGTCTACTCTCCTAGTCCACTACTATTCTGTCCCGCTCCATCCCTGTTAGCTGCCCCCATTCCTTCCTGGATTAGGTGGACCTCTCCTTGAACTTCATTCACTCACAAAGCCATTTATTGTCCAAAAAGGGGTGGGACCTCTCTCCTCCCGCCCACAATCAAGGACTAAAAGATTTAACAATAGCTTTATCCTCTTTCTCATACAATAAAGGGCAAAACCTTTCAGCATGTCCTATAATTGCACAAGCAAAACAAGAACTGAGAAGTTTTTCATATTTAAAATCTACCTAATAACCATCTCCTTTGCTCTTATATAAGGTTGTTCCCACCTTTAAGGGATTTCCCACATCCAAGCTCACTTTGACCCTCATATAGGCCTCTAATTTCTCATCAAATTGGTTATCATCCCAGATAATAAATTTCCCCAGGTGATTCCCGATTCTCCTAGCAGTGCCTAGATTTGAAAACCATGTGGAACATTGTGCACCTGTACCCAAAACTTAGACGAATCCAGGGGGCCTTGAGAGGAATATCCCCCGGTTTGATGGCCATTAACACCAATAGATTCTGATCAAACAGCCAAGATCCATTGTCCAATACATAAAAAGCAGTCTTACATCATAATTTCTAATTGTTCATATGTGCCTTATTCTGAAAGATTTCTTGCTATTTTTATTGATTAAAAAAACATTTCCTAAAGGACGATCTATTTTAACATCATACACTTTGCTTAAGAGTTTATTCAAATTCATAAGGAATTGCTTTCACTTAACTGAATATGGGCATTTCGGTGTTAGTGTTTCATTTATTCAATATTAGGGTTGGTTTGCAAATTGAAATGGGCTATCTTTATGTGTGTTGCTATTTTAACCTTGCATTGCGTTTGATTGCCTTGGTTTATGCTAATTTTCCCAATTCTTAAAACTGACAGCCTTTTATGAAGATGAAGTTTACAATATATGCATTGCAAATTCATAGGTCAGTAGCATATTACTATCATTGTTTTTTGTACTGTTTGTTTCAATATTTGTTAAAGTGCTTCTCTAATGAAAGATTAGTTTATTAATGATTTGTGTAGGTGAATGACGGTGTTGATGAAGAAATTGAAGATGAAGACATAAGCATTGATGCCAATATGTGATTTCATGATGTTTCTTTTTTCTTGTTGTGGTGATTTTCTTTAAAGAGCATTATAATGACATATTTTTATTGCAAAATATTGAGATTCTATCTCTATTCCAAGTGAAAATTATTAAATAAATATTGCTGCGTTTTTTGAAACGGCCATTTCCAAAATATGTACTCTTCTTAATATACATCAATAGTAAAAAATGTATCTAACATTTTGGCAACAATTTTCTTTTGTTGCTATTTGTAATAACGGCTCAAAACCGTTGTTGTACCGACTTTGAAAAAATGTTCTCTATACTATACCTATAAGTACAATTTTCATTTTGCGTTGCCTTTAATTTCAAAAAATGTTCCCAAAAGTATAGACAACGCCTTACATTGCCACAATTTTGAAACTGTTGCCAAAAATATAGGCAACGATTTTTTCTAATTGTACAAAAGTTTTTTAGCGTAGTCATAGACTCAAAATGTTGTAGTGTGAATAGCTTAAAATTGGCTTATTCGCCCATGGTTTGCGGACAGTTTGAGGAGGCTCGTGTGTGACATTTCCTTGCTCGGAGAGCTGCTGAAGGAGTAGAACAGTAGATTATATTGCTAGTGGATTCTCCCACTTCCCTCCGGCCCGTTACGATTTACTATATACTCTCTCCGCCCCATTGAACTTTGTCAACTTTCCCTTTTTGGTTGTCCCAAAAAACTTTGCAACTTTCCTATTAAAGCAACTAATATGTCGTCCTACACATTTCTCTCTCCTCTGCACAAATCTCAATCACACAGTTTTTACTTTTTTTTATTTCTCAACTACTTTGCACTTGGCAAAGTCCACCGGGACGGAGATAGTATATGTTATACGCTATTTGCCTATTTCTATACGTTTTCTTACACACACCTATTTTACATGTATATATAAAGTAAGAGGACTTTTCATGTCCAACCGGCCTGACAGGAACCGCCGTCCGGCCGAGGGCATTTCGGGCACTTCCCGGTGGATTTTTTTGATGAAATATTTTTAGCATGTTCTTCATGAAGTCTAGTTTATCCATACCAAATTTCAGCTAAAAATTCAATCGGGAAGGCACTCAAATAATTTCTTGAAGTTAACTGGGCAGTTCATACATATAAACTGCTCAGTTAACTTCACAAAATTATTTGAATGCCTTCCCGATCGAATTTTGAGTTGACATTTGATATGGCTAAATTAGACTTCATGAAGAACATGCTCAAAAAATTTCATCAAAAAATTCTATCGGGAAGTGCCCGAAATGCCTTCAGCCGGACGGCGGTTCCCGTCAGGCCGGCTGGACAATAAGACTACTCTATAAAGTAAATTCATTTAAAATGTAAATTTTTGGATTTTATTTGAAAGTTATTTGTATGGTGAGCAAAAAATGTGTACTTGTATATGCTAACGCGTGTACACGAAGAACGACTCCTCCCATAATACTTCCAATGTAAGATGGCGGTAGTCAATATTCTTATTCCTATTTTTTAACTATTCTTGCTTTACTCACAACTTCCACTACAAATGGTCGATCTAAGAAAGTCTTAGGCGTCTCTTTAATTTGTTTTGACATTTCAATAATTTTTGTATGTAGTTTGTACAGATTTGTTGGTGGGGATGGTTTTTTAAGAATGATTTTGAACACATTACAACATGGAGAAAAGAAAATGCACAATTAAGAGAAATTAAATTTTATTCCAAAAATATGATTTATTTGATCTTACTAAAAATATAGGGAAAATGGAAACTAATAATCCAACCTTTTAGCGGTCTTCTTTCAATAATCCCACCTTTTGATTATTCATGAATAATCCAACCTTTGCACCCCATCTTCATTCGTTGGTCCCTGATCGGTTAATGACCTGCTATTCCAAGTTATTTTCTTATCTTTACAAAATATTATCTTTGTGAAAGATGAGATTTATGGTATAATGATTTGCAAAGATAAGAAAATAGCTTGGAATCGCAGGTCATCAACCGGTCAGGGACCAGTGAATGAAGATGAGGTGCAAAGGTTGGATTATTCATGAATAATCAAAAAGTGGGATTATTGAAAGAAGACCGCTAAAAGGTTGGATTATTAGTTTCCATTTTCCCAAAAATATATAATTTCTCTAATTGGGAGTGAATGAGTCATACTTCACGAAGAAAATAATAATGATTCTATTTGCATACTATGTGTATGTTTTAGTTTTATTTAAGAAATATTCTCACATTTTTTAGTCTCATATGACTCAATTATAAAGTCCTCTTATACATAAGCTCATCGTAATCATTTATCTTTAAATAGAGCGAGGTCTCACAAACACACACACATATATATTCTTTGTATCTCATAAAATTTTACCAAATTAAAATTACAAGTATAATAAATTAAATTATGAGATTGAGATTTCTACTTGAAATAATTTGAATTATATATTTATATGAAAATAATGAATAATTTTGAAGGAGAAGTATATCTCCCTAACCGAATCGACTTCAAAAGTACGAATAAATTCCACTTTTGGTCCTACAAATTTTTGGTGATTTCCACATTTAGTCCATATCTTTCACTTTGTCTACTTTTGGTACATGACTATTGTGTTTTCGCCCTCCACTTTTGCTACATGAATATTGTGTTTTCGCTCATATATAGTCCTTCCGGCATTGTTTCCGATGGTTAAAATCATCGGAAAAGGACTACAAACGATTAAAAAACATTAGTCAGGTATCAAAAGTGGATAAAGTGAAAGACGTGGACTAATGGTGGAATTGACACAAAACTCGTAGGACCAAAAGTGGAATTAATTCCAAAAGAATCCAATTTTTTTTTTATGAGTATGTCAATTTAGCCTATAAAGAAGCTAAAGGAGTTTTTTTAGAAGCAGAAGAAGTTAAGGAGTTGCATATGGTTGTAATTTTTTTTGTTTGCAGTGTAGAATTACAGAAGGTGGACACTAGTCATTCACATAGTTGGTGCTCGATTGAATGCTCCATAGTTGGTGCTCGATTGAATGCTCCATAGTTGGTGCTCGATTGAAAGCCATCCCGGAATATGAATGCATTGACTGCTTTACAATGGATAAGTTGCTATGGTCTGTGAGTGTACACGCAACCGTAAGCGGAAGCTTTCCAAGAGCTGAACAGTCCAGTACAAGTTGTACTGAAAGAAATTCTTCGCATTCCAACAATCTATGGCGTATTGGTAATAGGAGAGGAGAGAGGACTTTTTTAAAGGCACAATCTCACTCGACCAGATTTTACCACAGACCACTCCCCAAGAACCTTCGTTATCCACGGCGGCCCAAGCTCCCTCCAGACCTTGATTTTGGGTATCGCGGAGTCATTGAGAACGACTACAGGTCCCCTCCGAACCCAACCCAGGGTGACACTCCTTATGAGATTATCGCAACTCAAGACCATCCTCGAGACAACCCAATCAGCAATGATGATGATAACCTAGAAGAGGAGGGAGAAGAACAACAAAGAAACCATGAGCTAGAATCCGGCGATGGAATAGAATGGGAATCCGATGAAATTGACGCCATTTCATCGCTTTTCAGAGGGAGGATTCCTCAGAAGCCCGGAAATTTGGAAAGGAAAAGACCTCTCCCTCTCCCTTTGCCTCACAAAATTCGACCCATTGGGCTTCCCTCACCAAAAAGATTCCCTGCAACAAATAACGTTTCCTCTGCAAGGAAATCCATGACAAATAGGCTGTACAAGGAGCCAAGTTTCTTGCTTCGATTGGCTAAAGATATAAAGTGTCTTTCAGCAGAGGAGAATGTATCTGTAGTTCTCCGAAAATGGGCCCCATTTCTTAGAAAGGGTTCCTTGTCCCTGACCATCCGTGAGTTGGGTCATTTTGGCCTCCCAGCCCGAGCGCTACAGACATTCTGCTGGGCACAGAAGCATCCTCATCTATTCCCGGATGACCGGATTCTTGCTTCTACCATTGAGGTGTTGGCTAGGTCACAGGAGCTAAAAATTCCTGTAGATTTGAATAAGTTCATCAGCTTGTCTAGCCTTAGTGTGTTTGAGGCATTGCTTAGGGGGTGCATTAAAGGAGGAAGCTCGAAACTTGCATTGAAGTTTCTCCTGTCTGCGAATGATCGCAGAAGAATGCTGGACACTGGGGTGTATGCTAAACTTATTTTGGAATTTGGTAAGAATAGCGACACCAATAGCACAATGATATTGCAGTTGCTAGAGGATCTTGCAGAAAGAGATGATCTTGATTTGAAACCACAAGACTGTACGGCTATCATGAAAGTGTGCTCACAGTTGGGAAAATTTGAATTGGTAGAGCAATTATATAACTGGTTCAAGATGACTGGGCGTGACCCCAGTGTGGTCATGTACACTACCCTGATTCACAGTCATTACTTGTCAAATAGATACCGTGAGTCTTTGGCAGTTGTTTGGGAAATGGAAGCTGCAAATTGCCTTTTTGATCTTCCAGCTTATAGGGTAGTAATAAAGCTCTTTGTTGCTCTGAATGATCTTTCAAGGGCTTCACGCTATTTCTCTAAACTAAAGGAGGCTGGTTTCGCCCCGACTTTTGACATATATCGGGACATGATAAAGATCTATACCTCTTCCGGGAGGCTGGCTAAGTGTCAAGAGATCTCAAGGGAGGCACAGATGGCCGGATTCAAGTGGGGCAAGAAGATAATGCGGTTGCAACAGAAACAGTGATTACTTGACATTCTACCCTACATTTGTACGTGCTTGCATCAGTATGCAGAAACACTGATGTGCATGTTAGAGCAGCCATCGCTACTTTCCCTCTTGGCATCACTGTTCTGTTAATGGTTAGAGAGAGCAGCTCCCTACATTTTCATTTCAAATAAAATTAATTGCTGCTTCTTTGCTAAAAAAATACTTTCGGTATGTAACTGAGTAGCCATTAACTTGAATTCCACTGTGGCCAGCAAAGTAGAGATAAATGAATACGAGTATTTACGTTATTTACTGTTTTATTTCTTTTTTTTTTTTTGAGAGGAAAACTAGTTTTTATTAATTCAACTTATCATTCTCCAAATGGAGTACAATATTATCAGGGGGGAAATCATAAATAAAATAACCATCCGGTAAAGAAAGGGCAGCCCGTGCCATCGAGTGAGCTGTCCTATTCACGGATCGTTTGCCATATATGACTTCTAAACTAGCTTCGTTACGAAGAGTGTGTCTAATATCTTCAATGATTGTATCAAAATAGGAGTCTCCCTCTCGATCAATAATACTTGAAACAACCAACAAAGAATCTGTCTCCAGTTTTACCCTTTCCCATCTTTGTTCTTTGATCCACGCGAGTGTTTCTCAGATTCCAATAGCCTCGGAGATTGCCGCTGTCCAGTTTGCTTGCATGGTGCGACAGCCCCCCGTCAAGAATTCACCCTCATGATCTCTGGCTACCCACGCCCAAGCCCGTCTGCCTCTTCTTTCATCGAGCGCTGCATCAATATTAACTTTAACCCATCCAAACTCCGGTTTTTTCCAGCTAGAAGCCTGCTCCCTGGGTTGCTGAATTGCCCCTTTTCTATTTGCTTCATGCCAGCCACTTAGCATGCTAACTCCTCCCTCCACAACCTGCTTCCATCCCAGCGTTTTATTACTCCATGTCTTCTCGTTCCTAGCCTTCCATATACTCCATAGGGAAACTATAAACTGGCCGAGTGTAACTTGCTGCATATTTTCAAAAAAGCTCCTAACCCAATCACCAAAAGTCCCTCCAGTTCGAATAAAATTAGTCCCCTGGTAGCGCCATATAGTGTTCGCCATTTGACAATCTCGGAACAAATGCAATTCTGTCTCCTCCGCCTCCCCGCATAATCTGCACTCTCCTGTTATATCCACACGTCTTTTTTGAAGGTTAACCGCTGTTGGGAGTGTACCTGACATGACCTGCCAAAAGAAGCATTTTATTTTTGGCGGTATATTAAAATTCCACATTCTTGTCCAACCCACCCACTCTCCCATTTGATATTCTCCTCTCAATTTTCTATAACCACTTTTCACTGTATAAATGCCTCTAGGATCCGCATTCCACCATATACCATCCTGAATACTTCTCTTACTCAAAGGAATGGCAAGAATATTTTGCTTTTCTTCCTCTGAAAATAAGCTTGAAACTCTTTCTACATTCCAACTTTCCCCATTCTCATTCAGAAGTGCGGCTACGTTCATGTCTGCGATCCCGTTTGGTGGCGGTGTATGGATCATGCCGTCACTTGTCCCCGGTAACCACCTCTCCCTCCAAACCGAGATTGTTTGGCCATTGCCCACTTTTCTGCGTAAACCGCAACTCATCAATTCTTGTGCATGAAGTATGCTACTCCATACAAAGGACGGATTGCAACCTGTTTTAGCCTGCAAAAATGAACAATTAGGAAAATATTTTGCCTTAAAAATCCTTCCAACCAACGAATCCGGTTGCTTGATGAGCCTCCAAGCTTGCTTTCCCAACATTGCTATATTAAATTCCCGTAAGGAGCGGAATCTTAATCCCCCCTTCTGCTTGGGCACACATAAAGCTTGCCATGATTTCCACCGAATACCCTTTCGAGTTAAATCTGAGCCCTTCCACCAGTAGCCGTTCATTATGGTTTCTATTTGCGAACACATTTCTTTTGGCAATAGAAACACATTCATAGCATATGTCGGCATTGCCTGGATAACCGTCTTCAGCATGATCTCCCTTCCTGCTTTAGAAAGAAATTTATTGTTCCAACTGCTAATTCTGCTGATAATCCGCTCCTTCAGATACCCCAGGATCTCTGTTTTCTTTCTGCCCACCAATGCCGGTAATCCTAGATATCGTGGTCTGTCAACCTCCTTATTTACCCCCAAGCAATTACAAATGTATTCTTTGAGTTCATCCCGTATATTCGGACTAAACATCACTGAAGACTTCTGGTAATTAACTTGTTGGCCTGACCCGTCTTCATACCATTGTAAGATCTTCTTAATCGCCTGACATTCCCCTTCTCGAGCTCGAAAAAATAGATAGCTATCATCTGCAAAAAATAAGTGAGAAACTCGCGGTGCTCGTCGGGCTACCGCAATACCCAAAATATTCCCCATACTTTCCTGCCATCGAATTAAAGCACTCAAACCCTCCGCTATCAGGATGAACAAATAAGGCGATAACGGGTCCCCTTGTCGAAGGCCTCTTGTCGGGTTAATCGGCCCAATCAAGTCTCCATTAAAAGGGATGTAATACTCCACCGTGGAGCAACAAGCCAAGATTAAATTAATCCATTTGGGATCAAAATTCATACTCTGCATAATCCTCCTTAAATAATTCCACTCAACCCTATCATAAGCTTTACTCATGTCAAGTTTCAGTGCAACAAACCCATCCTTGCCCTGCCTTTTTTGTTTTAAACAGTGGAGCGTTTCAAAAGCTACCATAATATTATCCACTATCGACCGCCCCGGAATAAAAGCACTTTGATTAGCGGATACTAGATGGTTCAACACTTTTTTTTAACCTATTGGCCAGCACTTTTGTAAAAACTTTAATCAGCACATTGCATAAAGCAATCGGTCTCCAATCGCCTAATAACTCCGGTCTTTCTTCTTTAGGGATTAAAACAATATGAGTGCTATTTACCTCCTTTGGTATTATTCCACTAGAAAAGAGATCCTGGCAATACCTGATAATTTCTTCGCTTATAATATCCCAATAGTGTTGAAAAAACCCCGGATTCAATCCGTCCGGTCCCGGTGCTTTGTCTGGGTGCATGGCAAATACAACTTTCTTCACTTCCAGAGCCGTAATGGGTCGAATTAACTCTCTATTTTGAGCTGCATCTACCTGCGCCAGTCCTACTAGTTCGAGGTCCTCCCACTCCACATGACCAGATTTAAATAAATCCGCATAGAAGTCCTGAATCATTGATGCTATTCTGCTCCTATCTTTCTCCCATTCACCGGTTGGTAGCAAGAGGCCCCTCATCTTATTCCGTCTTCTACGTTGTTTCACCGAGTTGTGGAAAAATTTTGTATTTTTATCCCCATCTCGGAGCCAAAACATTTTTGCACGTTGCTTCCAAAAAATATTTTGACGTTGAAGGAGATCAATCAGAGTTGATTTTATCCTGTGGAACTCCGCTGCATTCCAGCGTCCACCTTCCACCCGTAGAGCGGCTAACCTATTCTTGCAGATTTCAATTTTTGCTTGGAAACCCACCCGATGGTGTTTGCTCCATAGTTCTAACTCCACGCCGCACCCAAGAAGCCGCTGCCAAACCGCCAGATTACGCGAGTTTACCCAAGCTCTCTGAACCACTTCTCTGCAGTCATCTTCCCTTAGCCAGAAATTTTCGAACTTGAAAGATTTTTTCCTTCTTTGGCTGACAGCTTTAATCAGCCGTAAATGCAACATTAAATGGTCACTAGAAGGGCTCTCTAAGGAGGCCGCCTGATATCTGCCAAACAAATTCAACCAGGCTTCGTTTGCTAATATTCGGTCTAGTTTCTCCTCTATCCAGTTTGGAGTTCCCCGACCCCTCTCCCACGTCCATTGATACCCTTCAAAAGGTACGTTCAACAAGCCGCTGCTATGAACCGCGTCTCTAAAACCTCGTAACAGCCACAGGGGTTGTGGCAGTCTGCCTCGTCTCTCAGAATCCGCAAGTATATCATTAAAATCTCCCATGATGAGCCAAGGTCTGTCTGTCAATTGCGAAAGCCGCTTGATTAACTCCCAAGAGTCTCGTCTTCTACTCCGTTCGGGGAAGCCATAATAGCCCGTGAAGCGCCATTTCGGGTCATCTTCATCCAACTGCACCATACAATCAATATAATTTGTGTCATGTTCCAAAATTTCCACTGCAATGTTACCTCTCCACATCAGGCATAAACCACCCCCAATCCCCTCACTGTCCACTGCGAAACAACGTTGAAAACCCAGTTGTTCTCTAACTTCTTCACACCGCACCCTATTTGTTTTAGTCTCCATTAAAAAGAGGATGCTCGGCCTTTTGGATTGAATTGTATCCGATAGAACCTGGACCGTCGCCAGATTTCCCAAGCCACGACAGTTCCAAGAGACTATTCCCATATTGCTCTTCTTCTACTCGCCTCAAGCTGTCCGTAAATTAGGTACCTGCACCGCCGTCTATGGCGCCGCCGACCTCCACAAAGCTAAACCCTACGCAGAGGGTTCCGTCCACAATTTACTGTTTTATTTCTAAAAAATGGAATTTTGAAATGCTATCTACTTGGATTCATCAACGTAAATTATGACAAGATGATGTATAGATGCCTACAGAAAGCAGTGAAAGATACAACTTCCTTATTTTTTAATTAATATATGATTAATCTGTGTAATGATCATCTGTAACTAAACAGTTGATCAATTGCTGAGCTGGTGGGAAGAAGGTGCCATACATGACAAATATCGGGTTCGAGAATTCATACAATTGCGATGAGATGTTACCATGTAAAATGCATAGGGCTCGTGTGGGGCAGGGATGAGTGTCATCATTTTTTTTAATATAAAATGGTACTCAGTAGTACTCCGTATGTAATGGTTTATATAGGACATCTGTCCATGCAACAAGGGAACTCTATGTGATTAGAAAGAAAGGATGGCTCCCAAATACATTTTATTCTTAAGAGTATATTCTTTACTTGATCGTTATAATCAGATTCTTAAAAATACATTTACTACCATACTTATTCAATCTGTTGTTCCTGGAACCACTTTGAATCCAATACAGATCGATACATTTTAGTTTAAGGTGTAGGTATTTTTCAAGTTTTCAATTTACTCAATAAGCCTAGAATGAAAAGAGAAGGAGATTTAAAATCCCAAGACATGTAATAAACTGTTAATATTTGAACCAAGAAGTTTGTTTACTGGAGAACAAGAGTCCATATTTGAACCAAAAAGTTTACAGTTTATACATATTTAAAAATGTGAACAAGAAGGAGAAGAAGGTAGTATCCCATCAGATAAAGATAAACACGACATCAACAGTTCCATAT